AAAAAATAAAATCTTCAAATAAAATGAGAAAGAGGAAAATTGTGGAGGTGAAAAAAAGGAGAAAAAAAACAACGAAAAATGGGAAATAAATAGATTTTTTCTTTAAGTAATATAAAACGATGATGTAAAGTGGAAGAAAAGCAGAATTTTATAAAAGAAAATGAAACAAATGACGAATTCCTTTTTTTTTTCCCCCTCATTTTATTCGTCTATTTTTGGTTTTTTCCTTCTTTTTTTTTTTATTGAATAAAAGCAATGAATTTGCTTCATACCAAAAATTCTTTTAATTAAATTGTATTATAGGAAATAAATTGATCGCAGGATAATATTAATTATTCAGTTTAAAATTTTTTTTTTTTTTTGCAAATTTCTGTTTATTATTTATAGGTTTTTTTTTTAAAATTTTTTTGTTTAGAATGAAATAAAATCCATAAATTTGTTTGAATTTATATTTCAATTTCTTTTTTTTTCTTACCCATATTCATCTCGTTGTTGTTTAATTTCACGAACTGTTTGTTCCAATGTTACAACTGTCTTATTAGCATTCTCATATTCATTATTTAGTCTATCAAATTCAGAATTTAATGTATCATAACGTGTTCGTTGTTGATCAAGTTCATTGGTAAATTGACGTTTAGTTTCATCAAGATGACGCAATGCAGCATCTAAATGATAAGATGATTTCTTTTTTTTTTAACAAAAAAAAATAAATAAATAAAATGAAATAAAACGAAATTTAATTTCTTCAAATGATTTGTTAGATTTTTGAATTTTAAACATTAAAATATAATTTCAAAGGAGATTGTTTCATAAAACCTTTTTCTTCCAATTTTCTTAGTGTAATATTGTATTCATTTTCAGTATCTCGATATTTATCCCTCATTGTATTTAGCTCAGTTTTCAATTTCGTATTATCACGTTGAATTGTCTCGATGCGACTTTTTAGCTCGTTAATGCTAAAAAAAAAGAAAAAATTAACTTTTTAATTTAGTTAATTGCTATAAGCTACGTAAACTAAATAAATGATTTTATGGATCTTATTGAAATTATAAGATAAACATTTTCTGATTATTATTTTTAATATACTTACCGATTCTTATATTCTTCTTCTAATCCAAGATTAATTTCATGTTGTTTATCGCGAGCTTTTCGTTCTTCCTCTGCTGTTGCCTTTTGATATTGTCTGCAAATATTTCTTTTTTAAATCCAGTTTGAATTAATTTTGAAGTTAATTTTAAGGAAAGCCATTGTGAATTAATCTAGCATATAGCTGAAATTAATAAATACATAATGAATAATAGATGAATTGAATTCTTAAAATATCATCATTATCACTATTATAATAATAAGTAAAGATAAACTGAAAATACGATTAAAAATTTGAAACATTATTAAAAGTTTTTTCACCCATTAATTTAAAATTCAATTAATTAAATACACTACTAACTGGTGTAATTTGTTTATCTCTTCTTCCAGGAATTTTCTAGCCTTCTCAATTGCTGCTTTTTCTAAATCAGCAGCACGTAAACGTTCTTCCAAACGTCGTATTTGACGTTCTGCATTATCCAAGTTTTTAATTCTGAAATTGATGTTTTCTATTAAGAAGGATTTTCTTTTTTTTTTTTCTTCACTTGCATAAATTATAACTCATTGTTTTTTTTTTTTTTTTTTTTTTGTTTTCTATTTGTAATTTTAGTTTTAAAATTTCATACTGTATTTGTTAGGTCTACGTTTGTCTTTCAGCTAGATT